GAGCCCTAGTTGTTTATTGAAGATGTTTGAAACATGTTGAAAAAGGTGGGACAGAATTTATTACATGATAGATTATTCTAATATAGACAATGTTTACAATTATTTCAATAATTATTAACAAAAACAATTATAATTGGAACTGTTTATTTCAATCACTTTGCTCTTTCCACTAAAATCATCATCAGAACTGATTTACATTGTCCAATAAATCCATGATGTTATTGAATGGTGGGCATCCTTTCGGTATCTGAAATTCAAGAAGCAAAGTAAGTCAGGGTATGACAAAGGATATTTGATACTTTTTTCTACTCATATCTGATCATTTATGGTTGAATTACAAGATTTTAAAAAAAAAATTAACACTTCTGTTGAATATCCATTTAAAAAGTGCAGGAGGTTGTAGTACCAGTGAATAATTAACTTTATTCCTCTGCAATTTGTGTTAATAATACCGAGTTTGAACCTAAAAGTTCCTTGATGAATTAAGACTTACCAGTGGGCTTTAAGCACAGAATGGAGGATACAATAGCTTTTAAAGGCGCAGTATAATATGCACCCCAACTATACTTATATCAACCTTTTCAATTTGAACAAATTATTTCAATGATTATTAACAAAAACAATTATAATTGGAGCTGTTTATTTCAATTACTGTTCTTTTCATTAAAATCATCATCAGAACCGATTTTTACACTTACAACAAAAGATTTTGACAATATAAAATCAGTTTTTTATTTCATTTTGAAATAAGTTCTTTTTATAATAATAACATGTACTATATTGTATGGTTTGTAGCCTTTGCTATTGTATGTGTCAAGGCTGTTAAAAATGTACATTTTATTGGTTGACCAAAAGTTCATTCCTGTTGAAAGTTCAAACAAAACATACATAAGATTTTTTTAAATTATTTATATGGCAATTCTATTTAGTATTAGTGCAAGAAATTATATGGCAATTCTATTTAGTATTAGTGCAAGAAATTATATTCTGCCCTTTTTTGTATGTTATAATTATTATTTAATACAATTTTTCTGTAATCAGATTGTCAGTGTAAATTATATTTAATGTATTTAAGTTTTATTCATTTCTTGAGTTTTTCTTTTCTAGGTGGTGTTGTGCCATTTTTGTATCTTTTTCCTACTTTTTCACAAAGTGCTATTCAAACAGTGTGTTAAGTTGTTTCGCAAGTGTTGAACAGTGTGTAGTTAGCTGGTTCATCTTAGCTATTTTAAAGCGAGGATTGTTGCCTTCAAAGGGTAAGTTTCATTTATATAACATCTATTTATGTCTTAGTTGTCTACTATACTCTCATTTAAACTTAATTTTTTCTTTTTCCAGGAGGGATTTACAAATGGTAAATCAACTCTCTCTGCTGGCAGTCAGGTTAGTGAGCATGTTAGAATTAATATTTTATTATTGCCCCAGCAGCCAATATAAGTGCCACCACACATATTTACCTTCCTTCCCTCCAAGTAGGTCTTCACCCATCTAGTAAGGTGATGGTCAACATTGTAATTATCTAGTGCTGATATAATGCAAGAAGTATCAGCATTATCGGACTTAGATATCGAAGAAGCAGCCTAATGTATATTCATTATTAAATAATGATTTCTCAGTCATGCCTATCAGTGAATACAAAGCAGTTTCCACTGATTTTCCTGGTAAATAGGCATGCTGATTGGGATGTATCATTGTATTAATTCCACAATCATGTCTAATAGATCTATCTAAAATTTTCTCTATTATTTTTTACGAAAATAGAAGATATACTTGCACGGTCTGTTCTCGATTCAACAAGACGGGCCCAACTCTGAATCCTTTTTATGAGAAACAGACCCCCAGAGGTCTTGATCGAACCTTAATACAACCGATCAGGTGCCTTTTTATAATAAAATTTAATGCAAGTTTGAAAACAATTTAATAATTACACAAGAAAATAATTTAAATCAACTAATTTCCTTTCAAACTTTAAACAAACAGTCGAGAGTTGTGAGCGAATTTTGCCTGTCGAGTAGTTCAACTTGATTTCTTCTATCTTGTTAAAATTTGGTCAAAATATCTAGAAAAACTTTATAAAACTAAGGAAATATCAAGTCTAAAAAAACATCGTAAAAGTATGTTTTTTCCGATCTTTAGAATTTGAACCCCCGGTTGAATTGAGAGTTGCGAGTTAGCAAATGTAGCCTGTCGACTATTTCAACTTGATTTTGTGTACCAATCTTGTTAAAATTTGGTCGATATGTAGAAAAACTTCATAAAAGTATGGAAATATCAAAAGTAAAAAAAAAACTTCATAAAAGTATGGTTTTTTCCGATTTTGAACTACCGGTTGAGCCGAGAGTTGTGAGTTAGCGAATGTAGCCTGTCGACTAGTTAGTTCAACTTGATCTCGGGTACCAATCTTGTTAACATTTGGTCGATATGTAGAAAAACTTTATAAAACTAAGGAAATATTAAGTCTAAAAAACTTTGTAAAGGTATGTTTTTTCCGAGGCACTCATAGCATTCAAAATTTACCACAAGGGAGACATCCCAGTGCTCGAAATGTCTGAGAAAAGGGAAAGCTGCTAACCACCGCACTGGCTCTTAGTGCCAAACCCACAAAGCAGCATAAAGCTCAAGAGGTTGATTGATTTTAGGACAACCACTGACTTAAATGAACTAATACGAACCGATAATAAGGATCACATTGATAAACGCACATAAATCGCAAGCGGTTATTGATGAAATTCGAGTACTAGCATGCGAACGACAATTGATGCTGTACTCATACAGAAGCCTTAGTGCCTGATGGGCATATCCACTAGTTAGTGCCATTTGGGATAGATCCTAGCGTGCGCAGCTGCCATGAAGGATGGCATTAGTTACACATGGCATCTGTATACTTCATTGGACGTGGTGACATCCAAGATGATTCAAAGAGAATAAAGGATGTAGCACGCAATCATTCTTCACATGTAGTGGTAGCCGGCAATTTCAACACACCATATAGCTTGGGGAGACAGCAACGTTCCCAACTGCGGCAAAGTGATGAATTTTCTAGCCGAATATGACACCCTTCACCTGTTCTCTTGCTGCCCTAAAAAAGAATGTGCAGAACACTAGAATGGCAAGAAACAGAACTCCTGACCAACAAGATGAACAGCACGAAGTCTACAATGCAGTAAAAAAAAGGTTCCTTTCAAAATGAGTTGCAATGGCAATGTACATAAAAACACTTCTTGGAAGACTTTTACAGAGGAGTGTGATAAAGCTGCGACCTATGGGGCATGCATATAAAGATTGCAATCCAAAAGCTAGTAAATTGTTCCATTGTACCAGCTTGTAACCCTACAGTTATGTCTCTGAAAGAAAACGGTGGCATCTTATGCAAGGCATTTCCAGATGACTCTCCTGAGAGTGACACTTCTGCCTAGGCTGCACTAGGAGAGAAAATGGAGGAACCCACTATAGCACACTCGCTATGGACTACCGCCAAATTTTATGCCACTGTTGCTCATCTAAGAATGGCCAGTGCACCTGGCGAAGATGCAGTGTAAGGAAAATCGGTTGCACTCTCCATAGAGATAATCAGAGACTACCGCCAACAGATATACACAGACTGCTTGAGGGTGATATATTTTCCCAATGAATGTAAGTCAGCCGCAATTAGTACTTTTTTGAAGGCTAGGCACTCACCAGCTGTCGAGATGGGCAAGCTGCTAGGGATGATTACACTAAAATCCTCAGTCACCTTCAAGGGCAGCTTGTACCCAAACCAATATGGGAGTAAAGTTGGCAAATCCACAAGATGCATGAATATCGTCAGCCTCATGCAAGAAAAGTATGGGAATGCTGTTCGACATAGCAAGGCATTCGATAGTATGTGGTGGCCAGCAGTACTGGAATGGTATAGATGTTTCTCAAACAATGATTCATAAGCAATTACTTGCAAAACCAGACATCACACTTGGAGTGCATCAATGCTACTTACATAAGGGATATGCTATACAGTGATAGGCATCAATGAGCCAGATTGAGAGAGCTCTGGTGTATGAAGTAGATTGTTGATGGTATCCCTTGGAGTACACTTGTCTCATAAGTCATTCTCACCCAATTAAGAATAGACTATGCTTGACACTAATACTTTTGGGCTAAAGCCTGTGTCCTGCTTGCAGAAAAGGCTGATTGATGCGTCTAACATAATTGAAGGGTGAAATTCATTCAAATATTTTGATCTACTGTTCTGATCTTTGGAAGAAATATTGTATATAATTATGAAAATTTTCTCCCGTTGAGTAAATGTATTTATTAGCATGAAAGTATAGTATGGGAGGTTTAAAGACAGAATATTGACTACACCACCCCCTCAATTAAGCTAGTTATTATTACATAACAAGGGTGATGGAGGAATATAGAGTATTCCACCCACACTTTGAGTAAATATTAAGTAAGAATGTGTTTATGACTGTCGGCCAGATCAACAGACAAGCTGTGGTGTATGAAGAACATTGCTGATGGGTGTCCCTTAGAGGATCTGATTCGTAAGTCATCTTCACCCAATTGGCAATAGGCTATGAAAGGTTGACATACAGACACTTTTGAGCCAAAGCATACGCATGTGGTCCTGCAAGCAGAGAAAGGTTGCACAATATGTCCTCTTAATTAAGGGTACAATTCATTGGCTCCAATGCCACTTGATTTAATAATTGTGTTTAAGCACCTGTTCTGATTCTTGGAGGAAACGGGGTTGTTCTATTGTATGTAGTAATCATAGTCGTGTATACCCAGTTTGTATTGAGTGAATGTATTTATTAGCGTGAATATGTGATGTGAGAGGGTCTGTGGCGGAATAATGAGTACCCCATCGACGCTCAGTTAGGTTAGTTGTCAATGTCATAGAGAGGGGGCTTGACTCCACTGTGGAGTCATCTGCATTGTGTGTTTTAAGATGTGGAAGTCAATTTAGGTTTTACTTAAAATGAAAAGGAATAAATAAAAACTCAAGACTATTAATATACATTCAACAAATACAAAATTAATATTCATGAAATCATGTTCATACAAATTTTACTGTACACAGAAGGAAAAACAATATATATACAATATTTACTTAACTTATGTATACAAATAAAAATATATTTAAAGAACAATAATTTTTAAAAACTGCCTTCACTCGATACACACTCAACAGCCTTTAGCCGGGCAGTCCATTGTTACAATCGGTTGCTCACATTAAAAAAGAAAAAAAAAAAAAATCGCTTTACACTGGCAATCACCTCCTCCACAGCATATCTAGAGGTAACCAAGTTCCATCATTGAAACAACGATGAAATTTATCTAAAAGAGAAAAGTAAAAATCAAAAAAATTAGTAATGAGGATATAAATTTGTTTTGATGGGGATTTTCATTTTAAATAAACTTACCCCGTGTAATGATAACAGCCCACAGAACTCACTATACAGTCGGGTCGGTCTGTGGCGATATCACCGCTTGGCATGCAAAAAATTTGACATCACGATCTTTATCACTCTGTAACCTCTTCAATGTGGATAACAATATTTCATGGTGAGGATTTGAACAGTCAGAAAAATAAGCTGTAACATAATTTTGCTGGTTAGAAAAAAAAATGTTGGAAGTACAAATTTTTGTTTTGAAATGAATTATTTAAAAAAATATTTATAATTGTAATAAATGTCATAAAACTTACGTTGGGGTATTATATCGTTGGCGAGAGTTCTAGCGACTGTTAGCCTGACATTGGGTACACGATCCCAAGAGAGATCAAGGAGATGAGGTAGTACATCCCTGGCGAACATATCACCTGAGAGGACGCTCTCGGAAATGAGACGAGAACAGAAAAGTGCGAATATCTGCCTCCGGTTCCACCTTGGCGAATGAGCGAATTGCTGGGCCAGTTCGGCCAAGAGCGATCGCAGGAGATTAACATCGATCGAAACGTGTGAAACCAGCTCGGTGACGAGATGAAGCGAGACCTTACGCACTTCAGCCACCCTGTCCAGCAGGAGAGACTGCACTATAGGGGATAAATGGTGGCATGTATCAGCCGGTGAAAACAGCCCGAGAATCTGAAGAAGCTGCTCGGCTAGCTCCTGCCTGAATCTCCAGTAGCGTTTGTAATCCGTTTTTTGAAAGTATACTAGCCTAGGTAATAATGTATTACGCACTGCAGGCCTCAACAACTAGAATTAAAATAATAATTGTCTATTAAAATAAGCCAAAAATTTGCATTGTAAGGGTACAATTGAAATAATGCAAACCTTGAGGAATTGTGCTAAATGTCTGAGTGCACCTATCCTCACTTCATCCACATCATTGATGAAGTCTTTAAAAATAGGTACAAGGTCCCGAGTAGTCAACTCTTCTCCGATTAGTTCAGCCAACTCGTGTAAACTACTTGCTATTATTTTCCTAACTTTCCACTGAAATAGAGAAGTATTAAAATAATAAATAACATCTTTATTTGTTAAGTTTGAAGACATACCTGAGTGTCTGTTGCCAGATGTTTGCATGCAGCCTTGATCAAGTCCCAGTTCTTTGGTCCAAGGGTAAGAGCGACCGCAGGCAAGTTATACGCGCAATGTTTGGCAGTGTTGTATATGACTCTATACGGTTCACTAGACATGGAGACAAAATGGTGTAAAAGGTCGCTTGGTACTATTTCTTGGTCTCCATTTTCCTTTTCTGATTCTGAAAAATTATATCACATGCAATTATATTGAAGTACTGGTTTGAAACTTTTACTAAATGATCAACAGTAAAGCAAAACACACCTTTTTGCGATTTCTCAACTTCATGGTAATCCAATGATCGTAATTTACGCTAAAAGTTAAAAAAAAAAATAAATAAAAACAGTATTAAACCAAGGAAATTAGAATAAGATTTTACCTACCGTAATAGAAGAACACAGGTTGGACTGAGGTGAATGGCTAATTTGGAAATCTAAGCAGCTAGGAGATGAAGGATTGTTATTATCTATTGATTCATTACCAAGATCATTATCAATATTAGGTAGTGGGTCCCTCCAATATTGAAATTGGTTGTAAAGTTCATTCTCAGGATCTTTGTAACCTAATCCACTTCTAAATAAACAAAAAACAGAGTTTATATCTTGATTATATTAACTGCAACTATTAACAACTAACTTCAGAGGGCCAGTTGATCCTTGCGCATTGTTGTAACCATCCAACCAGAATGTGTTAAAGCTGCATACGTCAGAATCCACCATTCCTAACGATATGTCCAAAAATCCTACCGATGAGAAAACCATTTCAAGATTTTTAATATGATCTTCAACTGTTTGGTCTTGTATGAGAAGAGGGTGTTTGGATTTCGCCGAATTCAAACTAAAAGCATGTTTTTTGAATTTATTTACAACACACCAATTCAAACTGCAATTCAACTATGAACTCTTAGAATTTAACAAAAATGAATCAAAGTTTTCAGATTTTTTTTTACAAATAAAATCAGATACGAGATAACAAAGCTATTGAGCTTACTTGAATTCATAGCCATCCTTATACTTGAGAACTAGATCGCCAAACTGGCAGTAGCCAAGAGATACTATGCTCGGCTCAGCAAATGTGATAATAAAAGGGCCCAGACTTAAGAAGGCGGCAACTCTCACACATTGCATCTTATCTTTCAGAAGGTTGGCAAACGCTGGTGCTAAACTATTCTTCCTGGTCTCAGAGGATACGACGCACGATACAGGAGTGAATGACTCGGCACAGGACTTTCGGATCATCCACTCTGAATCCTGGCAGAGGGCTAAAAAACTTGGAATCTTAAAACAAAACGTATACAAATGTGTTAATTCTCTTTCGAGCAGCTCTCTCATGGCGATTAATAACAAAATCCAATTACCAAAACTGTTTCAATGACCTCCGGCTGAACAATTGCGCAGACATCTCCAAAATGTGATGCGCAAATATTTCTAGCGGTGGCATCAGAGTCAGTTGACATGTTCTTGAGCACAGGAATCAGCAGACGCCCAATGGTCTCGCTACCAAGCCATGGTGCCATTTTGCTCATTAACTGTTTACAAATGCAAAGAAAAACTGAACTTCAGGCCTTCATTTAAAAACGATTTTTTACAAAATGGGTTTATTATAATAAATTAAAATAATCAGCACCCAATACAATTAGACATGAAATATAACAACACATCTAAATACATAAACTAAAACATATTTACAATAACAATTGATTATATTTTGTATGTTTTCTAAATAAGTTATATAATTATCAAATAATACAAGTATATTGCATATTAGTTAAAAAACTTACATTTTGTTTATAATAGACTAACAAATTATTCTATCTGCCACTGTTTATTGACTAATAATTAATAATTATTGCCACTGATCATATGTATTATTCAACTCAAATTGATATGTTTAAATTTTTGTATAAAATTATAATTTGGAGCTTTAACTGAACAATTTATAAACAATAAGAGTGAAAGTGAATGCAAAATAACGGTTAGCTTTTTTTAAAATAATTTAAATACTCTGAAATAATGTTAGTTTTATGAGCTGAATAACATAAACAACACTTATGGTTTTAATAATGTAAAACAGAGATTACAGTCTGTTCAGCGCTCATCAAAGCTGGCTGTGATATGAGTATGAACATAGTTCACAGCCACTTTGATGAAAGCCGATGAGACCTTCCAATTAAAGTTCTCTTCTCTTCTATTTTACACAAGTACATTTATCCAGATCCTCTGGACTGTCGCAGCCAAAAGGCCGAAACACCGCTCATCAAAGCTGGCTGTGATATGAATGAGAAAAAGGGGAAAACACATACAACAGCCACTTTGTGAGACGGCGTTGGGACCAATGAGTCTAGTCGGTACAGCACGTGTGTCGGAACTCATGGAAGGACTCGTCAAAAATGGCTGTGATATGATACAATACACATTTCACAACCACTTTGACTGGCACCTCCATAAGTTATGACGTCCCCTCCATCCCATTTTTGCCTTCTGGTGTGTTTCTTATTACATTCAAACTGATGGTTTATAGAGTAGTAGAGCCTATCAAAGTGGCTGTGATATGACATAAAGCATTTGCACAACCACTTTGACGACCCCAACACCCCGATAACAAATCTTCAAACGATCCTCCCATGCTCGCAGTATAAACCTGTAGTGTCAGTGCTCATCAAAGCTGGCTGTGATAGTTAATAAGTACTATGACAAACCGGCTTTGATGCCACCGACAACAGGTCGATTCCTTTACTTTTAGTTCTTTGCTGAATAGTATCGACGGTCCTCGGATATGGACTACATGAAAGACAAGATAGTGAGAGGTAATTCACATCTCACTACCCATGTCTTTCACGCAGGCCTACATCCTCTTTCTGTTTTTAGTTTAACAAAATAAAAAAATAAACTACAGTCTAATATAGAAATTATTTGCCATATTTATTTTCAGAAATAAATTAACATTTTGATTGCCGATGTAGTACTATGCAAGTGAAGGTTGCCTTAACCCTCAAAACTAGCATTTTATGCCTGTGAACTTTTTTTTTATATTGCCAATAAGCTTTTACATTTGTTTTGTTTGGTGTTCTCATTTTCCTTCCGGCACGTGCTTAAGGTTGTTAATGATTTGTTTTAAGAAATAATGATATCGTTATACAAATTATTTATAAATGCTTTTTTTTCTTCAGAAAATTAAAAAAAGAAATGCTTGCAGGTTTCTTGTTTTTCCTGTGAGAAACTTACAATTACAATATACCTAAGAAAATAAAATACTTAGATATCAAAACAAACCAAATTTTAAAACAACGGTTTAAGCGTTGGCACGGCGCTCATTACTGCAAGGTAAAGGTCCTGGGTTCGAATCTAGTGGCCTTGCATTCAAACCTGATATACTTACAAATAAAAATTTTTAAATACCAGTACCCCGAGGGTTCATATAATCTGGTAGTTGAACTAACCTTATTTATCATTTAAAAAAAGTCTTTGCCTACATGAAAAAAGTGTCACAAGCGGGATTCGAACCCACAACCTTCGGCTACATATGCCGCTGCTCTAACCACTTGAGATATCGGCGTGTTAATATAAATAAACATAACAACAATACAGTTAAAAAGAAGAAAGCAAAAAATCAAGAAGTGCACTATAAATTTACTCTGATTGAGTGCTACAGCAAGGCTTATAATTATATTATTGAAAGAACCTCATAAAGTTCGTAGAAACATTAATTCCTATGAATTTAATGGGGTTCTTTCAATAAGAGGTCATTCATTATTGCAAAAGTTTTGTAAGTAAAATTCACCTATAAATAATGAGCTACATCTGCAGTCAAATTAACATTATGTGTGTGTTTTAACCAACATACAAAAGTACAGGTTTTAATAGGTTTATCTTAATTGCTTCTATTATATAATATAACCCGACGTTCATTTTTATATTAAGTTTGTGGACATACCTTGATTGCATTGCCAGCTCCATAGTTAGCTTTAGGCTGGCTCAAACTCTCCTCCAGGATAGGCCATATATCCGACAAAATATATTCTTGTCTGATGAGATTATGCTCAAGGAGGGCCAACAGAGCTGTTTCCCCGGCTTTGGTCACCTGTAAATTTCATTTGAAAAGGCAAAACCAAAAAATTATTAATTTCTGAAGAAACTACGTTGTTTTTTTTTAATTTACCGTTATATTGGAATAGACGAGACTGCTGGCGACGGTCGGAAGGAGGTGGGACTCTATCAGGGACTTGAGACGGCCGTGGTTGTTGGGCTCCTCTGAAAGGATGACCGCAATGCTCGGCACGTATTGGAGGAACTCGCATTTGTACAGTTCATCTACAACGGGAAACGCCTGTGAGAAAGTGATTTGTACGAAAGGACGCGCGCGCGTCGTGTCTTTGTACGTGCGTGTTTACGTGCGTGTTTGCCGGCGTCCTGTCGTCCTCGTTCGTAGTAGGGGCGAGAGTAAGTGGTGAATGGGGGGAAAGGGACTCTCACGCTCTCTCACTCGACCCGTGTTCCTCTCCCTCTGTTCCAGAGGGAGGGGGAACGAGATCAATAACAGATCCCCTCAAGTTCACAACACATTTTATATACAACATCCGAACCTGCTACATTGTCAATTTACTTTCACCGGAGGACTTTTCCGCTTTATCTACGTCTGTATGTAAATAGTATAAACACAGACAAACAAATCGTTTGAACTCAACTAAACAGCGATTAATTATTAATTCTGTATATCTAAAGGCCTCAACTTAAAACCAAAACATTGTCTAGTGCCTGGTGATTCTGGAAAAGCAAAACAGATTACCTAAAAGTTCCCGGACTTACAGGCATAGAAGGAAATGTGACCAACAAGCCACGAAAGGGGCCACCCTCTCACCTATGGGACCAGAACCACAACTAAGTACTCAGGAGTGTGTGCTTAAGTTGGAACTAAAAAAATGGATTGATATAGAAAAACTCAAAACACTGGACAAATACTCCATGTATAAAGAGGAACGCGAAAGAACAAAGAAGGCCACTGCCATCTTAACTATCACCTTAAGATGGGCCAGGCTGAGACGGAAACATGTCGGCTCTGCCATGAGGAAGCAGAGGCATCGGTAAAGTGTCGGCCCGTTTACGGTACAGCCAGTTCTCAAACACAAGGAGATCCACGAAGAGCACCAAGGAAGTGCTTAGTTTTATACGGAATAGCGCACTTTCAAAGGTATGGCTATAAGTTTCACAGTAGATCTGGTTTAGGTCGCAGTGGAGGAAATAATTGTATTCTGCATCAACCACCAATAAACCATTAAAAAAACTAAAACAGGACTCTTCTATGGATGTCCTCCAGTCCTATCACTCAATTTATACATCATCAAGAAAGACAAGGTTTTTTTGTTTTTTTACGAGGGTTCACAACAGCAGAGGTCGTATAAAGCCCCAGGGTGACGGTGTTTTTGAAAAAAAAGTTAAGTCGCGTTCGAATGCAAGGCCGCTGGATTCGAATCTGGGACCTTTACCTTACAGTGATGAGCGCCGTGTCAATGCCTAAACCATTGCGGCCCCCGAGACTAGGTTAATTTGAAAATATAAAAACCCAAATATTAAAGCGATAAAAATTTTACATATCTCCCTTAAAAGTTTACGATTTTAGAAGCGGGCTAGTAAGCTAGTTCGATAGTGATGATGACAAAAAATCTTTCCACACGCACAGTAGCCAACTAGTATTTTCTAGGCACTGAAACCAAAACCACCGTGCTAAACCCAGCTAGTTCACAAACAATTATGATGACACATGGCACCTACTACAACCTAGTAGCGATTAAAGTAGCTCGGCTAGTCTATAGTTTAGATATTTTTGTAAGATTTTAGTCTATAGATCGGCGGCAATCAGAAATGTACCCATGGTACTATATAGCTTTTACTATATAGTCATAGAGTTTTAGGTATGTTTGTGTTGGGTGTACAATGGCAATTATATATTTAATATCTAGAGTTGCCCACAAACTACAAAGCTATATATGAACCCTCCGGGTTTTCGGTGTTTTTGAAAAAAGCCGTCAAAAGATTCGGGTGAGGAAAGCCGGATGCGAACCCGAGACCATTTAGCTTACAGTGAGTCCTCGTGTCATTAAGTTGCGAAACATTTTGAAACACATTTTCGAACTGATTCTCTTCTGAATTTTGCTTTTCGCTCGAGTACATTTTGGTTGTAATCTAATTTATAGATAATCGAACAAATCTAGTGTCATTAACGTGCCAAAATCAACAAATTTCACTCACTACGCTTGGCCTGTAATGAATTTTAGAGTCTTTGAATTCCACCTAATTCCCAATGACCTATAAAACTGGATTTTCTTTACCAATTTTCTTTATGTTGTGTAGGCCAATGTATCACTACAGAATTCCGTCTTTTCCTTTGAGTCTTGGGGAGAAGAAAAATTTGTACTCCGTTTAATCCAGAAATTTCGACAATCAGGGTGGTTCTCGGAGTTGACAAACTGCTGACAATTTCTCACACAAGGAGAGCAAAAAGTGAAAAGTCGAGTTGAAAAGTTTTCCCCTCAGTACAATTTTACTGCTGGTTCAGATGGCGTTAAGTAATTCAATTAAAGCGGCTCAGAAAATAAAGAAGTTGTAAAAAAAAAAAAAAATGAACTTTTACAATTAAAATCCATAGTGACTTCATTGGCCTGCGCTTAAGCGGAACGTTGGTTTTTCTAAAATATATATTGTACTAATGAAAGGTCCAAAATATTTCAACAAAATCTTGAAAAGAAAAGGGGTAAAAATTAAACATGTTCAGTAGGTGAACAATTTTCCTGGGAAGAAAAGAAATAAAGCAACTGGAGGGTTTCGCAAATATCTGAGTCATTTCCATTTACACCACGGCCTATTGCAGGCCTTATTCTTAGATAGTCATAATAAATTATAATGCATCTTCGTGAATCTTATACAATAATAGAACACTATTGAGACTAGATTTTTTCTTTTCTGTCTTGTAAAAAGAGGCTAAAAAGAGCATTCTGATTTTTAAAATTGCCTAATGATAACAAATCAACAGCACCAGGCGTAGACCAGTGGCACCCCTTGGAAGCTTCTGGGTGAAAGTTCGTTGAGATAGAAAAAATAAACCTATAACTGCTTTTTTGAAGCTTACAAATGTATGACAACGTAATATTATATAGACAAATATCGTATAAAATAAATAATAAAGTACCATCTCGCCATCAGATGGTAGACCCAAGAAGCATGCTTGGGTAGAGGAAAAAAAGCCAAATCAACAGGAAAACCATCGTCGTCATCAGATGGTAAATATATAATCAAGCAAGCTTAGGCAGAGGATAAAAAGCCAAATCAATAGGAAAACCATCGTCATCAGATGATATTGTAGTATGAAGCGTTATTTCGGCGGAAGGCAAAAATACCAAAAAGAAAATTATCACAGAAGGGAGAAATAAATTAACATAATCTGGAGAGGGAAAGAGGAGAGGGAGGGGGAAAACGAAGTAGGCAGGTAAAATATTTGCATCATGTGGACTCCACATAACGAGAAGAATCTACAATTCACGTTTAAACGATTAAGAATTTGAACACCAGTGATATCAAAAATAATAACGTTAAAAGTTCCAACAGTTCATACCTGCTGTATAATTGGGTCACTTATTGGGTCCGCCTTCACCCGCGGGTTTGTTGAACCTACTCAAACGCGTTTCGGCATTGCGCCATCTTCAGTGAGAAACTCCCGTTCCACAACAGTTCCAGACCCAGTAAGTGACCCAAGGCCGGTTCAACATGAGTTCACCGACTCGCCGATCAACACCCAACATCAACTTTAATTCTTTTCTATGTTAATGGTGGACCAACCAATCAAGAAAAAATGAAAGTTTGACGCAGCATTTTTGTAATGTTTGAAATCGTTGCTGTAAAACTTCTTCTAAATTGAGACTTTTGCCCTTTCTTTAATTTGGTAAGTAAAAAATTTAGATCCTAATCTTTCCTAATTACCTTACCATAAAGCGTCAACTGCTTTCCTTGATGATATACCCTTCATTAGCCAGTTTCCGTCTGAGAAAGCTCGCATTTTTCTTTTTTATTCAATCTTAAATCTTAAGCCTGATTGAAATTATTATTTAACAAAAGGAAATAATTAGTGTCGTTCAAGAGATAATTGTTGGATGTCACAAAAGTTCAGTAGGACCACACAGAACCCGATTCAACAAAATTGACCGGTAATCCCTCACGAGAAGGAAGAACTTCAAAATGGAGGTTTTGAGGTCAGATGCAGATTCCCCCTATCGACATTTACAATTGGCTTTCGAATTCCTGTTTTTTTTCCCCATTCCGATAACAGGAATTATTGAGAATTCAAGATGGAGAAAAGAAATTTAGCAATTTGATCGAGGAGTCGGGTCAATTTCCGGTTCGAATATATTTTTATTTTATCTCAACGAGACAGAAAATTACTCAATCACCCAGAATATCACAAAACTCCTTCATTTATTTCGGATTGGCGAAATGATCAAAGAGTTTCCATCTTATTTTCACAAAATTAAGTCGACTACATCATGTGAAAGCTGTAAGAACAAGTAATTGTAAATATTATTGAAACATGAATTATATTAGGAAAAGCATGAAATCGAAAAAATTACAATTATGCCCGGATAATTCGATTGAGAATTAATTTTACATCAAGATGTCCATAGGATTATCCGGGTTAAACAACTTCCCCAAAAACAGGATTTTAAACGAATATCATGGGGATTTATTATATAGATTTGGTAAAAAAATACGGTACCAAACAGATTGGTGCCATCACACACACACACACACACACACACACACACACACACACACACACACGCACACACAAATATACATAAATACGTATAGATTAATAATAGATAGATTAATAAGCCTAGCAGAGATTCATAGAGATAAGAATTGTTTTCCTAAAATACAAACGTTCAAAGTGTAATAACCTCTGAATAATTCTCTTGCATTATTTTATTATTAAAAATAGAAGTCAGTTAAATTATTCGTAATTAAATCAAATACGTATAAAATATAAACATTGGTACGTTTCTTAGACTTTTTTCTTTTTCTTTGCTGACCAATATTAGGAACGCAATTTTATTCTTCTTTTTTGTTATATATTTTTCTGCTTTAGTAACCAATATTAAGGAATCGTATTTTTTTTCACTTTGCTAACCAATATTAAGAATGCTATCCTTTTTTTTTTTTTTTTTACATTTTTCTACTTTGCTGACCAATATAAAAACACCATCTTCTTCTTTTTTTTTTGTTATAGCATTGTTCTCTTTTTTGCTAACCAATATTAAGGATGT